CCTAAGCGACTGGCCAAGCGGCCGGCCACTATAACATGCACTGACCACCAGGGAGCAGATGCTCAGCACAAGCAGAAACCACAGGCATGGAAACATGGAACAGACTTATAAATCTCAAAGAGGAGGGAGGGCGGGAAGAGATTAACCAAAGATCTTGTATGCATACTAGAGGCCCAGTGCACGAAGGTCCCTCGGCCTGGCCTGTGGGGATCAAGCCGCAAGAGAATAAAGAGTTTTGTGAGGTGGGGGGAGGTAGAAGAGGTTATAGAGGGTATAAATGGTGATGGAAGGAGACTTGACTTGGGGTACCAGGCCTGTAGTACAATATATAGATGATGTGTTATAGAATTGTACACCTGAAACCTATATAATTTTTATTAACCAATGTCACCCAATAAATTAATAAATATATAAATAAAAGATTTAAATTATGAACCCAAAATCCAACTGGCATAAATGAAATGAATGAAGTGAGGTTGTATATAATATAAAAAATAAAAGTGATGAGTACAGCTGGGAATCTGGGGTAGATAAGAAACATCTGCTTTTACCCACTCTATCCAGGAAGATTTCAGCTCAAGAAGAAACCTTATCTAAGCTCAGAACAGAAAACAAGCCAGTGAATAAGTTAATTCAGAACTTTTTTGTCAGCATCCACTGCCAAAGCACACCAGTATGGAGGTGGGAATATATGCAGAGAAGCATGTGTAAAATGCAGTCTACAGTTGGATGACTACACCATAAGTGCTGTGGGATAGTGCTGCTGATGTTTGTTAGGTTTTGATTTTTAAAACACCCATCAGTTGAATCCAAGGGAAAGTGGAAGATGGAAAAAGATTTGTTTGGTGAAGAGAAGATAAAAAACAAAACATACCTAGCTAAGAAGGGAGATTGCATTAATGAGCTTCAAAATTTCTAAGATACTGTTATTTTTTGAATTTAAGTTAAAGAAGAGCAGGGAACAAAAGAGTCTGAACCATCAGTTTGACATTGGACCTATTGGCTGAGAAGTTAGGTAAAAGCTCCTGCTAAGGAAGCAGAGGCCACTGCTGACCCTACACAACAAGAGGGTGGAACTAAAACCATTTAGAAAAAAAACAATTTTCTATTTTCAGCTAATTGTGTTGGTTCGGCCATTTCCAATCTCAATTAGATTCCAGTACTATTTTTCAATCTTTTTATATTGCTGCTCCTGGTCACTTTTATCCTAGTGACTTCAGACTTTTACCCTTCTACAGGCTCCTGACTCTATCCCTCCTCCATTAATCTAAGCAAATAGTTTAACCACCAACTAATGTCATTCTTGTTTGTTGTGTCAGGAAGTCTTTTCTTAAGCTCAGTATTGAACTTCATCTTGCCTCCTTTTCACTTCTAAACTTACCCAGTAATTACCAAATAATCTCTGCCTAAATTCTTGATCCCAACCTGTACTACTTCTCCTGAATTACGCTTTGTAGAGGATCCCTTTGGTGTTTCCTTGGCCTTATTGACTCCTTCCTGTCCACCTACCAACATATTCAATTCTCTCTCATCTTCAAAACCACCAATTTTTCCTGTGTCTTATATCCTCCCCAAACTTATGCAAGCTTTTCTTCCATATCATCACCACCCAAATGTGAGCAAGTTCTTTGAAACAACAGACCCCGCAGCCTCTGCTCCCTCACTTCCCACTCATCAATAACCACCTGAGTACCAAATCTGTAGCCTCTTTTCAGTCTTCCTCCTGGGCAGTGACACCAGTGAGCAATATTGACCCCTTCTTCTTGAACCTCTCGCTCTCCCTTGGTCTCTCCACCATACTTTCCTCCCTTTATTCTCTTCTTTCTCAGTTTTTCACTACCCCTTAGGCATTTGGTTCAGCTTTTAATTTGCACTTTTACTTGGTGAGTCCAGGATTCATCTTCAAAACATAGTGATTCAGGTCTGGAATGGGACTTAGGAATCTTTTTGGTTTGTTTTGCTATTTGCATTTTTTTAAATTGTGGTACAATATACATATTTACCATTTTAACTATTTTTAAGTGCACAATTCCATGGCATTAAATACATTCACAATGAGGAATCTCTTAACAAGCATCCCAGATGATTCTGATGTAAGCAGAGACCACAGTTAGGGTTCCATCCTGTCGTCTTCATATTTTTTCTGTATGAGTTCCTCCACTCCCATTCCTTTAACACCTACCTATATGGTAATAACCTCCAAATATATTGGTAGCCCCACCTCCACAGTTCCAGATGAAGGTTTTTCCTGTTATGTAGTCATAGCCCCCAGATATTTCAAAGACATTGCAAATTCAACATATCCCAAATACAAACTCATTCCCCTCATTCTAAACCTAATCCTATCTCAATGGTGACATCCTCCATTGCTCAAGCTACAAAGTTCAGTTGACTCTCCTCACTTAATACTCCCTACATTGAAATAGTCACAAAGTGCAACAAATTCTGCCAATAACATCTAAGTCCCATTTATTCCATCCATGTGGTTGACACCAACCTGGGTTTCTGTCATGTACCCTCCAATCCAGCCCCAGCCCCTGTCCTGATGCCAGTGTTCTTTCTCTTGAAAACCTTCAGTGACCTAGTCTTGTCCTTTATCCAGTGCCTAAACTTACGCTGTTTAATGCAGTAAGTGCTTGTTATTTAAGTTTATTATTGATGTTTGGGAGATCAAGACTATAAAAATCTGGAAGTCATTCATATAGGGTGATTAAGATTTAATTAGTAGTAAATTACTAAAATAAGTGGATATGATAGGAGGGGACTATGTCCTAGGGCTGAGGGCTGAAATAGGAAGAACTAAAAGAGGTCTGGTTAGAAATCAGAAAAAAAGCTAATAATAGAATACCATATGCTAGACAACATAAATTGTAATCCTTGAAATGACCCTATGAGGTAGGTACTATTATCCCCATTTTATAGATAGGGAACCTGAAACACAAAGGTTAAGTGACTTTCCTAAGGTCACACTAGGTGTGAGGAAGAGTTGGGCTTTGAACATTGGTTATATTGTTGCAGAATCTGGGCCTTGGCTGTTAGGCCTTGAGATGTCACAGAAATCAAGATTGAGAAGAGACTCTGAAGTGCCAGGGTAAAAGAGCAAGGGCTTTGGAGTTACTGTGCTGCTTCAAGTTATGTGTTCAGACCTGGGAATGAGGCCCAGCCAGTGTGGTTCAGAGGTTGAGCATTGACCTATGAACCAGGAGGTCACGGTTCCATTCCCAGTCAGGGCACATACCCAGCTTGTGAGCTCCATCCCTAGTAGGGGGCAGGCCGGAGGCGGCTGATCAATGTTTCTGTCTCTCTCCCTCTCCCTTCCTCTCTCTAAAATCAACAAAAACATTTTTTTTAAAAAAGAATATACACCTGGGTAATAAAGTAAATCTGAAAGTGAAAAAGAATAGCAGAAAAGCATATTTAGTCATATTGAAACATCAGCCAAAAGGTTAAAATAATGCATTGCTGGGAGTGGGAAATGAAGCAAATAACTGCTTCTATATTATTGGATTTTTTAAAATATATTTTTATTCATTTTTTTAAATGTTGGATGTATTTTTATTGATTTCAGAGAGGGAGAGAGAGAGAGAAACATCAGTGATGAGAAAGAATCATTGATCGGCTATCTCCTGCACACCCCACACTGGGGATCGAGCCTGAAACTTAGGCATGTGCGCTGACCAGGAATCGAACTATGACCTCTTTCTTTATAGGTCAACACTCAACCACTGAGC